GCCCAAGGTCACACAGCTCCTGAGTATCTAGCTGGCTAAAAGCCCATGTTCTTTCCACTACATCACACTTGAATTTATCTTGTAGGCAACAGAGAGGAAAGTAAGAGGATGAAAGTGTTGTTCTGGGAAAATTAATCCAGTCTCTCCCCCTCCTACCCAACCCTACATGTGGCCTGATTGATCTTGTTATTAAAGGGTAGCTTTCATCATGTCTCTCCATTACCTACAGAATCGAGTCCCCGTGGCTTTGCCAGGCATTTAAGCTTCTTTACGATCCACTTTTTCAGTCTTATTCCCCTCATCCCCAGACTCAGACCCTCGCTCCATACAGCCTGGCCTATCATTCCTCATTTCCCATGTCTCTGTCTTGGAAGGTTTCCTTCTCTGCCTATGACATTAATTCCATCAGCCAAACATGGACAGGGCCGACGATATGCCAGGCCCTGTGCTAGGTGCTGGGGACACCACAACCAGGACAGGAGGCTCCCTGCTGTCTGCCCTCCTTGTGAGGCCAGCTCACACCTTGCTCTTTCCTGGGGCCTTCTCTGGTCACTCGTTGTCCCACTGCCTGGCCCCATTCTGAATCCCCAGCATGTGGGGCTGCTGCTTTCATGGCACTCAGCCACACTTCCACCTTATATGCAGGTCTGTTTTAAGACTTCCACTGTAATGTGTTTATTTCTGTGGGAAATGTGCACTCCAGGTTCCAAACAGCATTTTAAATGGCAATTTGGTCCTCAGGCCAGCCCACAAGAGCCTATTAAATATATAATGGACCCAGAGAAGTACAGAACCTAAATAAGTGAAATAAGTATACATTAAAAACTCTACAGGAGAAACCAGGGGCAAACATCTGCCTCCTGCACCTCCACCCACTGTCCTCCAGGGTCTGAGCTTCAAGCAATCATCAGGGGCAGAGACAGAGAAGCAGGCGGGAGATGGAGGAGTGGGAAGAACCTGATTTATATTCAGCAGATCTGGCTCTACTCCCAGCTCTGCCTTCACTAACTGGGTGGCCTTGAGTGAGTCCCTTCCCTCCCTAAGCCTTGCTATTCTCTTATAAAATGAGAAGGCTAACTTAGATCACTTCTGAATCTCACAGATCAGCATAATATATATTATTAAATATAGATATGCAGTAAGGATTTTATATATTAAAAATAAATGTTATCAAGAAAAGACTTTAAAAAAGAAATCACGATATGCTACAATCAGTCTCATTTTACAACCAGGGACTCTGTAATTCCCTTCCCCCAAAATACGGTTATCGTGTCAGAAAAACTGACAAGTTTTTAAGCCGAAGACATTTAGATTCATGAAAACAAATTTTGTTGTTATTTTCCCAGTTTGACTACAGACCAGAAAACTCCAACCCAGCCCAGCTTCAGTCCTTGGCCCGATGCTTGAGAACCACTGAGCTAGGAGACCTACAGTTCACTCCAGCTGAATGTCTCTCCATTCTACAGGCTGGATAGAGACCACAAGACAATCAGCATGGACAGCCCTAGAGAAGGATCAGCCGCAGGAGGAGCTGAGCTGAACAGCAGGAAAGTAGGCAGTCAGCGCAGGGATGGAAGCAGGGCAGCGTGACCTGCCAGGGATTGCCCTATACCCCAAGGCTATCTCTTGCCCCTGGGCCCAGGAGCGTTTGCAGGGAGGACGCCCAGTCTGGAAGCTCTTGGAACTAAATGTGCCCCACGTGTTTGACTGTGACACCTTCCACCCCAGTATTCTTCTGGAAGGCTGAGGGTCCCCAAAGGAACATTTTTAAAAATCTTTATTAACTATTCTGATCATAAACTAATACATCTTCATGTGAAAAACTTGGAGACCACAGAAAAGCATAAGCAAAGAAGCAGAAGTCCTCACAACTCCACCTTCCAGAACAACGACTGTTCTGACTGACATTTTGATGCACTGCTAATTCTTCATACACATAACTTCAGCCACCCCAGGATTTGGTTTTATATCCTGCTTTTCCCCTAATTATTACACTTGAACATTTTTCCACATCCATAGATATTCTTCATAAACATCATAAAATATTTTCATAATAAACCTAACATTCTGGTAAATATAAACATTCTTTATAAACATTGTAATGGACTGAACATTTCTTTCTTTTCCTTTTTTTTTTTTTTTTTTTTTTTTGTGATGGAGTCTTGCTCCATCACCCAGGTTGGAGTGCAGTGGCATGATCTCTGCTCACTACAACCTTCGCCTCCTGGGTTCAAGCAATTCCCCTGCCTCAGCCTCCTGAGTAGCTGGGACTACAAGCGCTCACTACCATGCCAGCCTACTTTTTGTATTTTTAGTAGAGATGGGGTTTCGCCCTGTTGGCCAGGCTGGTCTTGAACTCCTGACCTCAGGTGATCCTGATCTCAGCCTCCCAAATTGCTGGGATTACAGGTGTGAGCAACTGCGCCTGGCTAGGACTGAATATTTCTGTTGTTCCCCTGAAAATTCATATGTTGAAATCCTAACTTTCAAAGTGATGGTATTAGGAAGTGGGACCCTTCGTAGGTAATTAGGTTGTGAAGGTGGATGACTCATGAATGGGAATAGTGCCCTTAAAAAAGGGACCCAAGAAAACTGTCTAGTCCTCTTTCTATCATACGAGGATACAATGAGAGGTCAACAGTATTCTCACACTGATTTCGGACTTCCAGTCTGCAGAACTGTGAAAAATACATTTCTATTGTTATACACCATCCAGTCTATGGGATATTTGTTATAGCAGGCCAAACTGACAAAGACAAACATAACTTTCCATGATATGGGCAAGGCCAGATACGATTTAACCATGCCACTATTATTGAGCATTTAACCCATTTCCACAATATTGCTATTGTAAAAAATGTGGTGGTTGTATATCCTTGTACATGAATCCCTGCAGATGCCTTTATGCCCTTCAGGTCACAGCCCGGTGCTATGCACATATCAGCCCTCAGTAAATATTGAATGAACAAAGAAACCCAACCGGCTTCCACGGACCTGGGGAGACCTTATCAGATAGACATAGCATTTAAACTTACAGAGGCCCAACCCGCTGTCCAGCTGCTCACCACTGCTCTTGTTGGCACGCTCCCTCCACCTCCTACCAGCTAAGTCAACCCTAGGGCTTAGGGAAAGGAGAAGATAGAAAGTACTTGCTCGGGACTCCCAGGTTCTAGTGCTCTCAGCAAACATACCTTCTCTTCTTCACCTCCTGGTGAAGGAGACCTGCAGCCCTCCACTGTCTAGCTAACTACCACACCCACTGCCACCTCTGTTCAACCCCACCACCTCAGGAAAGCCATGGCTGACCTCCCTTTAAATCAATGTATGGCTCCCGTTCAGTGGAGGATACCGGTACTTAAGGTCACAACACTTGCTGTTCTGTTATTATTTGCTCACAGGACTGACTCCCTTGCCCAATCCAGGGCAACACCAGACAGCAGGCACAACGTATGTTTTGCTCTCCACCCAAAGTCCAACCCAGTGGAGGGCAAAATATCAATCCAGACAATGTGATTGATAAATATGTCCACCAAATGAAATTTCAGATTCTCAAGCCCTTTGTTTTCACAAGAGGGAGGGAAAAGGGAGGGAAGCAGGACCTCCTAATCAACCCAAGTGCAAAGACAGATGGGGGCCTCGCAGGAGACGGCTCTGTTCTCTGCACAGTCCTTCCTAGCAGAGACTCACCCAGACCAACTGGCTCCAGGGAACTGATGGCAAAGGAAGCATTCAACAAACCCAGACTCCATGAGGTGACACTACCCCACTCTAGGCTGGTTCTCCCCAGGAGGGAGAACACAGACTCAAGAGAACAGGGGGCTTCCCTCCCCACCCACTTCCAACCAGAGAGTACCAGGCCACTCCTCACTGGTGATCCAAAAGGCCAGGGTATTGGGAGATGGAAATGTTTCAAGCAACTCAACCCACACTCTTTTTCTCTTTCTGTTTGCCCTGTGTCCTTGCCACACCCAAATGGTAAATAATGGGAAAATCTGGTTTGGGGAAGGTGCCAGGAACAGGAAGTTCCCTGGAACTTCAGGAGAAAAGGACCCAGGCTGGTCCTAAAATAAGGAAGGGCATAAGTTCTGGGAAAGATAAGGGAGGTGGCCACAATATCCCATCACACACCCACGAGGGCCAAACCCCAGTCCTGGGCCAGCAGGCACACCCATTCCGACTTCTCTCAGGGATGCCTGGGGCCCCCTCGTCCCCTAAGCGTAGCAAACTCTTCTTGGAGCCCACTCCTTTTCCACTCTTGCAAGATTTTGCAGTTTACACAGCTTCCTCCTCTGAGACCTCATCCGACCCTTAGAACCACCTTATGGGGGTACCTTTGCCTTTCTACTTCATGAATGAGGAGACTAGCTCAGATACATGAAATGAGCCGCCGCATCACAGAGCTAGAAAGTGGCTGTGGCTTGAGCCAGCCTCACTTGGGTGTAGGAGCAGAACTCCCCCACCTGGGCCGCCGCGTCAACCCCACCCAGCCCACCAAGCCTGGCCTGTGGGCGGAGGCCCAGGTGGTGGCCCGCAGTTTCTCAGCCTCCTGGGGTCGAAACCAAGAACAACGTGGCCCTAAATCAAGGTTTCTGGCAGTGCAGGTGGTAAGCACCCCCATCCCACCCCGCACTCACACACGTGCAGGGCTCGGAGTCTGAAGCGGGGCGCAACCCCCAGCCCGCCGGCGTCCCGCCGGAACTGGTGGCTGTCCCTCGACCTGCACGCCCGCAAAGTTGTGGCCGTGGCGCAAGCACCCTGCCAGGGATCGCCCGGCGTCCCAGAGCTGCCTCCTGCCCCTGCGCCCGGGAGCGCTAGACGGGGAGGGCACCGGAACTCCCGCTGTCTCCCGCGTAGCACCCCGTGCCCGCCTGCTGGCACGCACGCCCTCATCCCGGCGCCCCGGGCAGCTCCCAGCACGTCCCGCAGAGGGCTAGAGCAGAGAGCGCAGAAGGGCACTCGGGGCACACGTGCCGACGCGAACCCCTGCCCCACAGTCTCACCCATATCGCCAGCAGCAGCCACGCCGGCCCTGCCCGCGCCATCCCCGCCGCCGCTGCCCACCGCTGGCTCCTGTCTCCTCTCCCGCGCCCGCGCCCGCCCGCTCGCTAGCTCCACCGCGGCCAACCACCACGGCCACTTCCCAGCCGCTCCCCGCCTCCGAGTTCCCGGTGCCACGTCTGCCAAAGCATGCGCAGCAGCGAGGGAGAGGAGGCCGGGAAGAAGTGCTCGCTGGGAGATGTAGTTTGCAGCCCGGCTCAGCTGGGGGCTGCAGGTGCGGACTGGGCTTCGAGACCACGTGGCAGCGAGTGAAATGCGAAAAGGCAAGGTCAGGGACTAAGGGAAGGCAATCAATTCGCGAGGCTTGCTCTGTGCCTGGGGCTTCAGAAACAGTATCTCACGCAGCTCGCAGAAATGAGGTTTTATCTTCTCCACTTTGAGGATTAGGAGGCAGCCCAGGGAATTTAAGTACGTTGACCCAGATCACACAGCCAATAAATGGCAGAGTCCAGTGCTGCCTGTGAAGGACAGGAAAAGCCCTCATCCCTGCCTCCCAAACTCCCCCCTGCCTATTCTATTTAACTTCAGTACAACGTTATTGGGCTGTTGGAAAACAATTTGGTGGCTCCTCAAAAAGTTAAACATAGATTACCTTATGACCAGCAACTCCACCCATAAATACCCTAAAGAATTGAAAACAGGTATTCAAACAATGCATGTACACCAGTGTTCACAGCAGCACTGTTTACAATAGCCAAAAGGTGGAAACAACTCTAATGTCTGTCAACGGATGAATGGATAAACAAAATGTGATACATCCATCTAATGGAATGTTATTTAGCCATTAAAAGGAGTAAAGTGGCCCAGCAGGGCAGCTCATGACTATAATCCCAACACTTTGGAAGGCTGATGCAGAAGGATCGCTTAAGCCCAGGAGTTTGAAACCAGCCTGGGCAACATAGAAAGAACTCATCTCTGCTAAAAATAAAAATAAAATAAAATAGCCAGGGTGGTGGTCAGGGCCTGTATTTCCAGCTACTTGGGAGGCTGAGGCAGGAGGATTGCTTGAACCTGGGATATGGAGAATGCAGTGAACTGAGATCACGCCACTGCACCCTAGCCTAGGCCACAGAGTGAGACCCTGTCTCAAAAAAAAAAAAAACTGGTGTGTGTGTGAGGGGGTGGGGGGTTATAGTGTTAATACATGCTACAATAAATGAATCTCAGAAATGTATGCTAATGAAAGAAGCCAGCCACAAAAGGTCACATATGATGTGATTACATCTATATGAAATATTAAGAATAGGTAAATCCACAGAGATAGAAAGCATAGTAGTGATTGCCCAGGGCTGGAGGTGGAGAGGAAGGAATGGGGAATGACTAATTAATGAGTATAGGGACTCTTTTGGGGGTGATAAAAATATTTTGGAACTAGGTAGAGATGATGGTTTCACAACATTGTGAATGTACTAAATGCCACTAAACTGTAAACTTTAAAATGGTTAATTGATGTTATACAAATTTTACCTGAGTAAAAATTTTCAAAAGAAAAAAACTATTGAACCCATTCCATGTGCTAAAGCAGGGGTCCCCAAACCCTGGGCCTCTGGACAGTCTGCGGCCTATTAGGAACTAGGTGAACAGTGGGCCAGCGAGCTTTACTGCCTGAGCTTTTTCTCCTATCAGATCAGTGGTGGCATTAGATTCTCATAGGAGTGTGAACCCTATTATGAACTGCACATTCAAGGAATCTAAGTTGTGGGCTCCTTATGAGAAGCTAACACTAATGCCTAATGATCTGAGGTGGAACAAAACCATCCCCTGCTCCCCCACCATCTGTGGAAAACCTGTCTTCCACAAAACCAGTCTCTGGTGCCAAAAAGGTTGGGCCCTGTGTTGTGCTAAAGCATTTGTGCTTGCAGTCAGTTTGCACATTCAAGAATGTTTATTGAACACTTACTATGTCCTGAGGCTCAAGACATCCAGTAGTGAGATGGACAAGAGAACTGCACAGTCAGAGGTTGGTAAGTTATAGCTGAAAAGTCCTTGCCTTCTGTCAGGAGGGTCAAAGCTCAAAGCTTAGAAGTCATCCATCATTCACTTCCTTTTCTCAACAGGCACATCCAACCCCTCACCACATCCTGTCAGTTTCACCTCCAAGATATATCTCTTCTGCCACCTCCTGAGTCTAAGTCACTGACATGTCAGTGACTATTACCTGGGGAAGAGTAACAGTCTCTAAAAGAGTGTGCCTGCTTCTCCCCTGTACCATCCATTTGTTAATGTCAGTTGGATCTTGCTTACCTCACCCTGAAACCCTCCAGTAGTTTCCCATTGCCCTTAGAATAAAATCCAAGCTCTTCCCACGACCTGCAAGCCCTGCATGACCTAGGCCCTCGCCTGGTAGAACTCATCTGCTGCCTCCCCCATCCCTGCCCGCCCAGTCCAATTTCACAGATCATCATTTCCTTGCCCCTCCCCACTCCAGAGCTGCTCCTGCCTCAGAGCTTGTGCTCCTCCTATTCTCTCTGCCTCAGCAATTTCCTTGGTCTTTGTCTGGCTGGTGCCTTGGAATCCTTCAGGGTTCTCCTATCTGTCCGTTCTCAGAGAGGCCCTTCAGAGCAGCCCACCTATAGGTGAGTTTACCCTCCCCACTGCCAAGCTCCTTTTTCTCTATCTCAACTTCTGCTTAGGTTCTGTTGCTTCCTTCCCCAGCACCTACTACAGTCGACAAGACTTACTGAGTCCTTGTGTTCATTGTCTATTGCTCCAACTTCAATGTCAGTTTCCTGGCTCTCTATTCATCACCTTTCTTCCAGAGCCAGAACAGGATGGAGCCGCAGATGGTTCTAAATATTCTTTTTGATGAACGACTGAATGATTGAGCAAGGTAATGTGTTGGGAAGGGTCAGAAATTCCTAAAGCAGTCTGGGGACAGGGCTTCCTTGGCATGCTTTGCTCTGCAACCTCAAACTCATGATCTGCACGTGGGAACGTGAACCTTGTACCCCCTTTGTGGGTCTCTGTTTCTCATCTGTAAAATGAGGTGGTTGGTGAGGATGCAGAGCTACTGGAACACTCACACGTTGCTTTGGGAATGTAAATTGGCTCACCTACTTTGGACAACTGTACATGTACGAAATCTGCACCAAAATGTTCATGGCAGCTTTGTTGGTAGAAACTGTTATGGACTTGTGTCCCCCTGAAAATTCACATGTTGAAGTCCTAACTAAACCTCTAGTACATCAGAATATGACCGTATATGGAGCCTTTGAAGAGGTAATTAAAGGACAGGTGTGGTGGTCCATGCCTGTAATTCCAGCACTTTGGAAAGCCGAGGCGGGCAGATCACCTGAGGTCAGGAGTTCGAGACCAACCTGACCAACATGGAGAAACTCTGTGTCTACTAAAAATACAAAAATAGACAAGCATGGTGGTGCATGCCTGTAATCCCAGCTACTTAGGAGACTGAGGCAAAAGAATCGCTTGAACCCGGGAGGTGGAGGTTGTGGTGAGATCCTGCCATTGCACTCTAGCCTGGCCAACAAAAGTGAAATTCCGTCTCAAAAAAACAAACAAACAAAAAGAGGTAATTAAGGTTCAATGAGGTCATTGTGGTAGACCTGGTCCCATATGGCTTGTTTCCTTGTAAAAAGAGACTAGGACACATATATAGAGGAAAGACCATGTGAAGACACAGAGAGAAGACAGAAGGTCAACCAAGCCAGGGAGAGAGGCCCTCACAAGTCAACCCTGCCAAAATCCTGATTGTGGATTTCTACCTTTCAGAATAATAAAAACATAAATCTCTGTCATTTAAGCCACCAAGTCTGTGGTGGTCTGTTATGGCAGCCCTGACAAACTGGTACAGTAGCCCAAACTGGAAACAGCCTAACTGTCAGAACAGAATAGATAAATTCGTGATAGCATTTCTGAAAAAAGAGAGAGAGAGAACAAACTACTGATATATGTAACAATGTGGATTAATCTCAAAATCCTGATGTAGAGCAAAAGTAGCCAGACACAAAATCATATGTACTGTATGATTTCATTTATCTGAAGTTCAAGAACAGGCAAGTACGATCTGTGATGATAAAAGAAAACAAGTGGACGAGGAATAGAGACGGACTGCGGCGAAAGCAGGAGCAAACCTTCCGGGTACTGGCAATGCTCTGCATCTTGCTCTTTTATTTGTTTGCTTTGAGACAGAGTCTCAAAACCCAGAGTCTCAAAGTCCGGCCCAGGCTGGAGTGCAAGCTCAGCTCATTGAAACTTCCACCTCCCCGGCTCAAGCCGTCCTCCCACCTCAGCCTCCCAAGTAGCTGGGACCACAGGTGCACAGCACCACACTGGGCTAATTTTTATATTTTTAGTAGAGACAGGGTTTTCCTATGTTGCCCAGGCTGGTCTTGGACTCCTGGGCTCAAATGATTTGTCCACCTCAGCCTCCCAAAGTGCTGGGATTACAGATGTGAGCCACTGTGCCCAGCCTGTATCTTGATTCAATGGTAGTTACATAACATTTAAAATTAAATGTATTATTCCAGCTGAATTGATTTACTATCTGAGCTATATGCTGAGATTTTACAGTTTATATACACTATCTCTTAGTCTTTTTCTTAAGTCATTAAACAATGAAGGGTGGGGTGAATCAGCTAATCTTCAGGATTCCTTGTAGCTCTTGTATCTTCCAAGACCCGCTAAAAGTTCCCAAGTCCAGGGAGGGCTAAACTCTGCAGAAATATAACTGCCAAAAGGGACAAGAGCTGGAGGAGGAAGGGAGGAAGGAAGCTATGCACCTGAGAGCCAGGGAAACAGAGGGCAAGGGACCGAGGGGGGAAAATAAACATTTCCAAGAAAACAAGCCATTTCATTCTGCAATTGAAACAAGCTAAAATGCAATTTGTGGCCCTTCTGGGAATGCTTACCAATTCCAAGCTTCACTCTCCTTGAATTATTAGGAGAATAGTGCAGGGCAAACACTGTCCCTCCTCCATTAGACCCCTCAATGGGCACCATCCATTTTCCAGCAGCAGCCCCGCAGGGCCAGGCCAGAGACACTTCTTGTTCTGCAGTTTATTGCGAATTGTGACACCACCTTATATTTGTGTAGCCAGTTCCCTCCATCATCTAGGCTGGGATGAGGACTAGCACAATGACCATTTTCTGAAGTTCA